CGACCCGCTGCAACATTTCTATCCCAATTTCCCGATGGCGGCGTTATTTCGTTATTTCATCAGCCGATCGATAGTTGGCAACAGTGTCGCGACTCCTTTTTCTGCAGTTGGCAGCGGCCATGCTGTTAGCGGGACGGTGCGGGAGTTACACGACGTGTGTGTGTGTGTGTGTGTGTGTGCATGCGCTTGTGTGCGTGTGTTTGTGTTCGTGGGCGTGGCCCGCCTGTTGGGCATGTCCCTGCACTGGGCGCTACCGGCTGCTGCTGCACCGCTGCTGTGTCGCTCTGTCTCTCTCACTCGCGTGGCGCTCTGTGAGAGAGAGAGAGAGAGAGAGAGAGAGAGAGAGAGAGGGAGGGGGAGGGCGACAGCTCATTGCCGGCCTTCGACGGCTTCCTTCAGGATGGGGTCCGCGTCCAAGCATCCGCGCACTCGCGGCGTCGCGGGTCGGCGTGTTGGACAGTCCTGGAGCGGCGGCCGAGGGCGGGGCGGGGCGGGGCTGCACCCACGGCACGTATATAGGGCCCCGCACGTCCGCACGTATCTGCGGCGGCCATCATCACGGGGTCCTCGGGCATCTCCAGGACGCGGGGACGCCCACGCCGAGCATTATATGCTCCATGTGCTGCTGCAGCACCGCGCGGCACCGCGAACCGGCGAACCGCTCTGCAATCACGGCCAAAGAGTACCACACACTGTACGTGCGTATGCGCAGAGGCTGCAAGCGGCTGTCTGCCCGACTGCCTCACGTCTGTGCCTTGTGACTGTGTCTGTGTGTGTGTGTGTGTGTGTGTGCGTGTGTGTGTCGATGCAATCGATCGGGAGCAGTGACTGAGACACATGCCCCATCAGTCTTTTCCCTCGGCTTCCTTCAGGTTCCTCCAGGTCGCCGTGTCCGTCCGCGTTTGATGATAGTGATGCGCGGTGGACAAGATGATGATGGGTGTGTGCGTGCGTGTGCGTGCGTGTGTGAGTGAGATGGGGATAAGGCAGAGCAATGACTCCCGCGCGCAGCTTCCGAAGTGCTCCGAACGGCACGGAGGTTTGTCGTTTGTCGGTGGCGTTCTGGGCGTTTGAACCGGCAACGTTGGGCACGGCGGTGTCGCCTCATGTCTTTGTTTTTGTTTTCCTTGCGGGTGGCGGCGTCCCAGTCGTCCCACTACACTGGGACGCCACCGGGACGACGAGGGCGTAATTAAGATGCTTTGATAGTTGACGCACCGAGTTTACACGCCGCGGAGTGAGTCGTTGCTTTATTTAATTATGGGGAGCATTGCGAGGTGGGCGTGGAGGAGGAAAAGGGGGGAGGGGGGGGGGAAGTCCTCCGCTGCGCCGCGTCCGCCGCGTCCGCCGCGTGTGCGGGTGCAGGTCGCCTGCCAGTGGAGGCGCTGGAGAAGATGATGGAGATCTGCGTTTGCATATTTCGGGGCCCCGAAAATGTGGTCGGACGCGGATGGTAATGCCCTGGGAGCCCTGCAGGCCGGCGGACAGACGGACAGGCAGACAGACAGACCGACGCCAACCGCGACGAAGTAGAAAATAAGGATGCATTTCCCGGCCACGCAAGCGAATAATCACGGGGGTGCAAAATGGAATGTTTTTGATAAATAATAATTTTTGGCAGTGTGCGCCCTCGAGTGGTGCGATGGTCTAACCCAGTCCCCGGCAGGCAGGGCGGGCAGGGCGGGCAGGGCGCGACGCCGCGAGGACGCCGAGGTGGAGTCGAGTAGTCTCTGCACCGGACGTGCTGGCCTGGGCCTCGGCCTGGCCGCCGATACAGCCAGAGGTCGGGGCCTCGCATGTCACGAAGCGGCTGTCACATTGTGTCACGATAAACGTTTGGGGTGCACGACGCCGCGCCCCGCCCCGCCCCGCCCGCGTGGCGGCGATACTCCGATGGCCCCCGCGACCCCGAGCCACGCCGCGTTATCGGCGACCTCTGCTCTTTCGGACGCGTTCGCACGGGGGCGGCGCGGCAGCGCGGCCGCCTCAAAGGACGGGCCGCCTCAAGGCCGCTTCGGACGCGCCCCCCCGCCGTCGTTCGAAGACTTCTAAGAGCGCCGAGGCGTGGCGGCGTGGCGGCCGGGGGCGTTGCGCCATCGCGTTCAACAAGTGCAGCGCGCATTTTGGCGCGCACTGCCAATCGTCTCCGCGCCGGCCGCGCTCGTCGTCGTGGTCGTCGTCGTCGTGGTCCCGGACGGTGGCCGCCGCCGTCGTCCCCTCGGCACGCCTCGGCAGTACGTAGCTACCCTCACTGTGCGACTGTTTCCGAAAATACCTCGGACACCGAGAACGTCGAGATCGTCGCGGTGGCCCGAACCGAAGGTCTTCCCCGAACGCGCCGAACGCGCTGACGCGCGAAATGGTTCCCCGGCGCGGAGGCGGAGCGGCGGAGCGCGGTGGCGGGTCGCGCAGACGGCCGCGACAATTCATTTATTCATTTATTTACAAACCGCGGCGCAGTAAAGATTAAGCGGCAATTCATCAACGAGTCCATTAGAAACAATTTTGCCCACAATCACACATCGGCCAGTGTCATCGCCATCGCGGGGCGGGGCGGCCGGGGCGGACTCTCGGCGATAAGCGGAGGGCCGCGTGACGAAATCGTCTATCCGACTTGTTGTGTATTTACACACACACACAGACGCACTCACAGCCGCTCTTAAAAAAGGGGGAAAATGGAAGTTTGTTGCACCTGTCGCGTTGCGCGGCGTGCCGTTTTTGATCCCCGTCCGGCCCGAGCAAGTGCCCCATCCTGTACGGCCTGCCGGCCAGGACGGCCAGGACCAGATCCTAATCGCCCTCCTTCACGGGCCGCGGGGCGCGGGGCCCGAACGCGGCGCGCCCCGGCTCCGCTGCCGCTCGGCTCCTTGGTGACAAGGTGTCATTCATTTACCTCAATTTTACCCGTTTTTTGTTCCTCGCTTTCGGATCATTTTCTTCCGCCGACTTCCTGTGCGCGCGCCTTTCTATCGTGAGGCGATCCGCGGGGCCTTCCGAGTCGGTGTGTGTGTGTGTGTGTGTGTGTGTGTGTGTGCGTGTGGTGTGTGTGTGTGTGTGTGTGTGTGTGTGTGTGTGTGCGCGCGCGCGTGTGTGTGTGAGCGGAGGGCGACGATTATAAACAATTTGTAGGTGGCAGTCCCCGTGGCCCTCTTCCCGGGCGAGCTGCCTCCGCTCCCTGCACGCATTGCACGCCACGGCACTCGCGCCAGGCCTGCAGAACCCCTCGAAGAAGCCGCCGGTGTCATCGCGGCCACACGCACAGGGGCCTCGCCACTGTGAGAGTGTGTGTGTGTGTGTTGTCGTCGACCTGGTCCACTCCCCAGTCAACACCAAGTCGTACTCGCAGTGCTCACGCGATGTGCCGGGTGGCGCCCCCCGCCGGAGCCGCTCACGACGACTCACTTTTCATACCGACCTGCTCGCCCTGCTTGCCCCGCCGCTGCACTATGCACGCAAAAAAATAATTTTCATCAGAGCTAAAAAATTAGCACCCGCACCAATAAGATTAGCTCTATAGGCGCAGCTAATTTTTTAACTGTGTGGCTAAAAAGTGTTAGCTGGGCGATTCTAGCAACGGATCTAACGGCCTAGCTGGAACTGTAAGGAATCCTTAGCTGTAAACCAATCAAATCTTGCTGATGAACTACTCAAGTTGTTTGCCCCCTAGTTATTCCGAGATGAAAAGATGAAACCATCATTACGAATAATGTCTACTCCACGTGGTCTAACGGTCACGGACACATCTTAAGTAGGACGGAATCGTCAGTGACCCTTGACGCGCTCACGAATTACTCAGAATTGCCCGCTGGAGTCAAGTGTTACTCCAGCAGGGGAAGCGATCCGCCACCTGGCAGACAATTGTACAATACGACGGCGCCCAGACTAAGTGAAAACGCATGCTACACTGTCACCGCGCGCGAGCGGCGGCGCGACGCGCGCAGCGCACTCTCGCGGCGATCTCCTCCACCGCGACGGCGACTGGACGACGATGACATCAACTGGTCTCGTCAGATCGCATTTAGCTTGTTTACTAGAAATTTTTGAAGGCTTGCAAACAATAGTTAGCAGCCCACGACTAGCAGTATTAACAAACAAAATTGGCTATATCCGCCACAAATTTGTGTTTTGCGAGAGTGGTTGCTTGGCAGGTAACCAGCTAACCATCTGGCCGCGCGCACCTGAGGTCGCTTGTAGCTGTGCTAGTTTTTTAGCGCCCGTGCTAAAAACGATCTGTTAAAAAAATTAGCACGGGTCTGATTTATATTTTTTTGCGTGTGAATTTGCATTTTTTGCAACCGCGCGTCGCTGCCGCGGCGGCGTCTGCTCGAGTCCCTCTCTCTAGTATTCTGAGCGGGGAACTGGCTTATCCACTGCTAGACGCGTTCGATAATAAATGCCGGCATTATGCGCTTTTGTGCTACGTTGGTAGCCGTGCGGGAACGACGCGCTGGTCGTCGTGGTGGTGTTGGCGGTGGCGGCCAGCGCCACGGTCTTGGCCGCCAGGAATGCCAGATCGGCGGAAAGGGAGCTTGCCGGACAAGGCATCAGGGCAACCCCGTGAAACACGTCCTGTCCACCCAAACCAGCCCGCCAGCCAGCGCGCCACACCTTGTGTCGGAAACACCTGCGAATTGCGCGGCGCGTCACGTCACGGCCGGACTGGCGGGGCTGGCAGGCGGGCAGGCGGGCAGGCAGGGCTGGCAGCCCACTGGTGTTGCCGTAGGCGCGTGCCGCGGAAGCAAACTGCCCTCATCTGTAGCCACAGGGCCCGAGGGGCAATGCCGCGAGTGTGTACGAGGTGATCATAATAACATCATTTTCACGCGAGCTCCTTATGGGGACGGCCGGGACGGGAGCGTCATGCCCATGATAATATGCAGAATTAGAGCAGGGGGGGGGGAGCAGGTCTTTGGTGTCGGCCGAGGCCTGCAGAGGAAGACAGCGTGCTTTGCGTTCCATCCTTTCCATCGTCTGACCGAGCTTTGCTTGGCTTGTTGCAGCCGCAGCCGGAGCGCCAGCAGCCGTGCGTGCAGCACGCGTACGACCCGTCGCGCGACCTGTCGCCGAACCTGCCGCACCACCACGCGCACCACCACGGCGACCGCGGCGACCGCCTGGACCCCTTCAACAACAACAACAACAACTCGAGCAACAACAATGAGCGGCCGGCGAGCGCGCTGTCGGGGCTGTCGGGCGGCGCGCTGATGGGCGCCGGCTGCGACGAGGACCACGCCGGCTGCCACCAGTGCAGTGCCGCCACCACCGTGCCGCCGGCCTCGTCGTCGGCGTCCTCGTGCTCGTCGTCGTCCACCACGCCCACGCTCAGGCCCAAGCAGGAGCGGCCCTGCAGCCCGGCGTCGTCCCTGGCCGGCGACGGCGGCCCCGCCTCCACGACCACCACCGAGTTGGAGGCGGCGGGGCCGTGCGCGGGCTGCGGGCAGCGCATCTCGGACCGCTTCTACCTCCTGGCCGTGGACAGGCGGTGGCACGCCGCCTGCCTGCAGTGCTGCTCGTGCCGGCACGCGCTCGACGGCGAGGTCACGTGCTTCTCGCGGGACGGCAACATCTACTGCAAGAAGGACTACTACCGGTGAGTGCCAGCGTGCCTGCGCCTGGGAGGTAGGCTGCGGTGCTCGCGGTCGCGGTCGCGCCTTCAGCGCGTGTGAGACGCAAACGGTGTGCTGGCACCACCGCGGCGGCGGTGCGGTGCGCACACTGTCAGTGTGTGTGTGCGTGAGAGACGGAGTGCCATGCCACTGCGACGCGGTGCAGCGGTGCGAGAGGGATGCCGTGGCTGGCGTCGCGTGCGGACAAGTCAATTGTGCTGTTCCACGGCCTGCCTCACGCGAGCGTCCCGACGCAGCGTCCCGGCAGCGTCCCCCGACGCCCCTGGAGGACCCAGAGGCCGCGAACCCCTTCGCCGTGGCCGGTTGGAAGTGGCCTGTCTGCCTGCCGGGCTGTTTCTTTTGCCTGCGGGGCTGTTTGCCTGCCGGCCGGTGGCTGCCGGTGGCTGACTCGACCGACTCCACCGACTGCGGTTCGCTGCTTCGCTGCCTCCCCATTTGGCATGCACTGCACTGCATGGCACAGAGCTATGCGCGCTGCGCGCTGCGCTTACGCGGCCCCGCTGCGTTCCAGGCGATGCCGAGGACGATACGGGGCGGGTCACTGCCGCGCCGGGGCGGGGCGGGGCGGGGCGAGGCGGGGCGGGGCGAGGCGGGGCGGGGCGGCGGTCTGCTGCTGTATGAAGACACTCCTCGCTACCGTGCGAGTGCGCGAGTGCGGTGTCACATTTTATCGGCTTCTTTCGCGACAGCGGTGTGCTTTACGGCGGCGCGTCTCTCCGCAGTGCCGCTCCGTCTCTCTCGCACCCCACGGCACGGCCCGCGGGTGTGGCGGGGACAGAGCGACGAATGCACTGTTCGGACTGCGCCTGGCGGCGAGGCCCTTGTACGGGGCCGCGGCCATATTTCCCAGGTGCAAAAAAGTGAAGTGATAAAAAGAGCAAGCCCGGCTTTCTTTTGGTCTTGGTCGACGCGCTGGGCGTTGGTGCTCCCAGCCTCCCCGACTCTAGCGGTGATGTCACCGCGCCGGCCGCACCGCGCCCTCCCTCGTCGACGCCGTGTCCGCGGTCCGGGGCGGTGCAGGCGGTGCAGGCTACTGTGTGCCCTGCTGTACTGCTGTCACCGCCACGGAGAGATATAAGTTGACCACAAACTCGACGCGGTACAACTCGCGGGCGGGGCGGGGCGGGGCGCGCGGCGGCGGGTTCCGACCGATCGGGTCCCGGTCGAGATTCCCCGCCGGCCCCCCGCCCCGCCCCGGCGAATTGAAACCCCCTCGCCTCGATGTACAGCGCGGCCGTGTTGGGCGCCTGCTGCAGCAGGGGAAAGGGGGAAAGGAAGGAGGGGGGGGCAGCAGCGAGCAGGGCAATGGCGGATGTCGCCCGCGGGAAACAAAGGCAATAAAAAGACATCGGCAGCACAGCGAACGGAAAATAAAACAAAGACGGGCTCGCTCCAGGCAGGCAGGCAGACCGGCCGGCCCACAGTGGGCCAGAAGACCGGTGGAGGCGGCCAAAACTCTAGACGCGTTTCGAGCTCCAGAGTCGCTAAATGGGACTCGAACTGAACCTGTGACCCCACCAATGGATTGCTCTCCGAACGAGGAATCCATTGGTGGGGTCACACGTTCGGTTGGAGTCCCATTTAGCGACTCTGGAGCTCAAAACGCGTCTAGAGTTTTGGCCGCCTCCGCCGGTCTTCTGGCCCACTGTGCGGCCGGCATGGCCTCCACCGCGTCGTCGCCGTCGTGCCACGTCGCGCTGCCGGGCTGCCGTAGGCCAAATTCAGCGACGCGATTTCTCATGCCGCCGTGTCGCCGCGTCGCTGCGTTTCGCCTCGGCGGTGACTCTTCGTCGCTCCAGATAGGAATCGACCCGGCCGGCCAGCCAGCAGGCTCTCATCCATCAAAGCTCTATTGGCAGCCTGGTTGCCGCGAGGCCTGGCAGTCTCAGGCGGACCAGTGTGGTGGCACTGTGGCACTGTGAACGGCATGAAGAATTTCGGTGGCGCCGCCTCGTGTTTTAATAGCGAGCTGTATGGCACGGTGCGTCGACCCGCGGGCCGCGAGGCGCACCCTCCTAAATCTCACGGAGAGATAAAAGGAAAATATGAAAAGGTAGCCTGGTACCTGTTGGTACCTCACACGGCGCTCCCCAACGTTGTAGAGTGACATTTATCACGAGTGAAATAATTCACTGCGCGCACTCACACACACACGCACACTCACTCACACAGCCGCACACGTGCGCGCGCGCTCACCCACACACATGCACCCGCGCGCACACTCACACACGGTAGCGCTTTACGCACGAAATGTACTAGACAATAAGACAAGCACTCACACTCACAGACACAGTCTCTAATTTCATTTACGCTGCGCAATAAAAGCTTTACACTGACTCTAGGCTTGTTAAGGCTGCACGGCCCGCTGCCCACCTCCCCCCCCCCCCCGACATCAAACTTCTTGGCTGATTCGCGGAAACGCCTTCCTCTCTTCTTTCTTCGCCCGCTCGGCTTGCTCGGCCTCCTCGGCCTGCCGGGCTTGCCGGTGTCTGCGGCCCGTCTGCGCGCCCTCGGCCGACGCGACCTCGACGGCCGTCGACGGCGACCTCCGCGAGGGAGAGGAGCGCCTCCACCACGGCGCCAGGCGCCACGGCGGCGAGGTTCACCGGGAGCGCGGCCTCGGCGAGGACCGCCACCGCCACCGGCGGGAGAGGACGGTTGTGGGAAAAGGATGGGTCACTCGGTGGCGTGCTGGCCGGCCATTAGGCTAGGGGCTGGACGGGCTGCTCGACGGGCTGCTCGACGGGCTGCTCGACGGGCTGCTCGACGGGCTGCCCCGGGACGGTGCTGCTCGACGGGCTGCTCGACGGGCTGCTCGACGGGCTGCTCGACGGGCTGCTCGACGGGCTGCTCGACGGGCTGCTCGACGGGCTGCTCGACGGGCTGCTCGACGGGCTGCTCGACGGGCTGCTCGTACGGATGGCGGTGCCGTCGGCCAGCCGTCGACGCGGCGCGGTGGGTCCGGCCGGCCGGCCGCGCTGGCGTGTTGTATGCAACACACGGCCGGCCCGGCCAGCGCGGCCAGCGCGCCCGGCCACACGGCACTCCCGGTGCGCCAGTGTTAACTTTTATGATGATTGAAGGCATTTTTCATGACGTTGCTCTGCTCCCGCTCCGCCCGCCGCGGCGCCGCGGCGGTGGCCGACGGCTGGGGCCAGCGCCACGGCGCCGCGCTCGCCGCAGATTTGGACTAGTATAACGTGAATGCGACTGCGTGTGTGCGAGATGAAGAGACTACCTCGGTTTCATACATAACACACGGACACACGCGCACGCGGCGGGAGAGCACCGAGCGAACAACGCGCGCGCACACATATACACTCACACACGGGCGCATTATGTATTCCGCGGAGACTGCTCGTCAACCTTTTTACGCGGCTGGGCCTCCCTGCGGGCTGCAGGCCACTCGGGGCCCATTCCGGCTCATGCCCATGTAGGTTGCCGATGAGGAGCCGGCCGAACGAATGGTTGCCCGCCTCGCCTGCCCGCCAGGTTGCCTGCCTCGCCTGCCCGCCGGGCATTGACGTCACCGACACCCACCTGTCCACCGCATCATTTTCATAAACCGGCGCTGTTCACACTCGCATGCGTTTCGGCGCCGCGCGCGCGTGTTGCGGTGTAGGGGCCGCAACGCTTGGAGGCGCCCGAAATCTGGAGCCTGACGTTTGGGGAGCCAACAAACAGCACGCGATGGGCGAGGGGGAATGAATGAATGAATGAATGAATGAATGAATGAATGAATGAATGAATGAATGAATGAATGAATGAATGAATGAATGAATGAATGAATGAATGCCGTCTTACTGTGTACAAAGGGATCGTCATCGCGGTCTTATCCTCTGCGCTGGCGATCCTTTTGGCGACTTTCCAGTGAAACCCGCTGCTGTTTTATTTTGTCGGGTGGCGGGGTGGGGCGGGGCGGGGCGGGGCGTGGCGGGGCGGGGCGTGGCGGGTCAACAGCACCTCCAATCCGACAGAGGCGAGGCCACCGTTTGAGTCCGTTGGGCCGTTCTGCCGTCCGGCCTTTCGTCGCCACCGCCGGGTTCCCACGCTGGACTCCAGGCTGGAGTCCAGGCAGCCCAATCGGTCCATTCGGAGATTCTTTCTCTGTTCCTCTCTCTCGCTCTTCCTGCCGCGCCGCTGCCGGTGTCGCCCCCTTTTTCGTGTCGGTCCGGACGGTCCCGGGTTCGAATCCCCGGCCCCCGTTTCGCTTCCTCTGGACTCCAGGCCGGACTCCAGGCGCCGGAGAGCGCTTCGCACCAATTTCCAGTGTAATGAGTGTTTGCTCGCCGCGACTCGGCGGGTCCCGGCGACACGCGAGGCCGGCGTGGCGTCGATGGCCGCCCGGGTACTAATGAGTAATGAGTCCCGGAGAAAATGACGAAGCTGCTGGACCGTCCCGGACCGAGAGTCCTGGAAAGCACGCGGCCGGGCGCTGGGAGCCGCGAGATGTCGCTGGAGAGGCCTGCTGGAGAGGCTCGCTGGAGAGGCTGGAGAGGTGAGGCGATCGGAATGTGGACACCGGCCAATGGCGTCCGACCGGGTCAGGCAGCCAGGCCGAGCCCGGCGGCCGCTCCAGCATTATCGGTCCCCTCCTGGACAAGACGGCCCCGCTGGACTCCAGCGAGGCTCCAGCGAGGCTCCAGCGAGGCTGGCCGTGGACGCACCCCGCGGCAGCGCGGCCCAGGCAGGGCTCAGGCGGGGCGGGGCCTAACGCACACGCACGGGGGCAAAACGAGCAGCAACCCCCAATAAGCCGACTGGAGTGGCACACTGTTGGAAACAATAATGGTCGCAAATTACGGAAAACGGAATGTAATAATGATTGTAATTTGACGATGGCCGCCGCCGCTTCTGCCACTCCTCGTCGCCTCGTCGTCGGCGACGGTCTTGTCGTGCTGCCGTGGGCGTGGCGGCCGGTGGCGGCCGTCTCCCCGTCCCACGCATTATTCCTCCAAAATGA